TAGTACTAAATTCAAGGCTTAGTTGAAACAGAACTTTTTCTAGAAGATGGCTGCATAAATTAGGCACTCTACTAATAATTGTAAATTGCAATACATATGTGATTATTTGAATAAATAGATTGGTTTTTAACCTGTTTTTTAATGCATTTGTTTTTAGTTATTTGAGTTTTTAAATTACAAACTTATAATTTATAAAGCTGAAATATTATTAACTTAAGAACTTGAACCTTATAATTTAAAATTTTTGAAAAAGAAAAAATTTAGTAAACATAAGTTACTTAAATTTAAAGCAGTAACTTATAAACTACGAATCTTAAAAACTTATAACATAAAGGGAAAAATATTTGAAATATATTCGAACTTTGATCGAAATTGTTGTAACAATTCCAAACTTTGGGCAGGACATATTACCCCTGCACTATTAATAGTGTATTTTAAAGATATAAGTGCCCAGTAGGACAAGTTACTAGTTATAATGAATAATATTTATGATGTCCACGTGAGCACCTGTATATTTTTAAAATACACTATTAAATAGTGCGGGATAATAGGTTCTGCCCAAAGTTTGGAATTGGTACAAAAATTTTGGTCAAAGTTCGAATATATTTCGAACCATTTTCCCTAACATAAATGAAAAACTTAGAAAAAAGAATAACTCTTACAAACTCATACAAACTTATAAATTGAAAAAACTTAGAAAACAAATACTTTAATATAGTACTTAACTTACAAACTACTAAAATATAAAACTTTAAATATTTCAAAACTTAGGAAATAAAATCCATTCCTATTTCATAATTCAAAATATATATAAAGTTTGTATTCGTTGACTCAAGAAAATTAATTATATTTTAATAACTTTATTTACCATCTCATTTATCCCATTCCGCTTCGTTCCATTCTGATGCATTTCGATTTTATTTCGGTCTCTATGGGATAGGACCGCGTTTTCATCCTAGTTATTTCGATCCAATTCATCCCGATACAAGTCAACATTCCGATCAAACCAATTCAGTAACCATTCATTTCAATCCGACCGTTCCATTTTTTATATGGTGTCCAGTCTTAGGTGATACTTTAAATCAACCTTCAAGAGATGTCTCTTGGACAATTTCAGAATCAGGAATCTTTTTAAAGTTCTTTTTTCCTAGTTTATTTTGTATGATTGTTCATTTAGAATTTTACGATAATGATGTGTAACTAAACAATCTACTTATTTTAGGACAATGACTATTTCATGATTGTTGAATTCTTTATATTATATTGATGAATTAACTTACTAACTCGAGGTTATTTATTAAATTTTGTGCTCATCTATTTGATTGTTTGTCAAGTAGTTCGATATTTCTAGGAACCTCTAATTGAACTCAAAGGAGGACATTACCATTATAAAAAATTAAAAATGTTGAATAGAGTGGGTCTTTTATGATGATATTATGGTCTTAAAAGAAATAAATATAATATTATAGAACAAATTCTCAAACATAAATATATATTTAAGAAATTTTCTCAAAAAGTTTTGAGTTTATTCACTTGATGTACGTTAGTAATATATTACTTTTAAGGGAGAATCTCTGTTATTTTTTTTTAAAATCAACTTGTACATAGGAGTTTGTCCCCTATCGAAGAAAAAAAAAGGTCTATTTAATTATGTTAGTCCATTTCAAAGTCGATAACAATTTCATTAGCGCATGTTATTTGACAACGTAAAGTCCCAATGATTTGTGAATAATTTTCTAAAGTCAATTAATTAGCACATGTTGTACTTTCTTAATTAGTATGACCCGTTAATTGTTATTCCCTTTATTTTTTTTCATATTTAGAGAGAAACATAATTTTTCATATTTTATCCTCAATATTCATAACTTATTTATCAAATTATTTTTCAATATCTAAGATTATACATTAACTAATATAAATATTGTGATAAAATTTTCATATTAAGTATTGTTTTTCCAAAAAGGCGTGCATAATTAAAGTGGATAAGTAAAAATTAACATGGAGTATTATATTCTGACTTTGTAGCTTACTACTCCCTCTGTCCTATATTAGATGATCATTTACTATTTTATATGGGGATTAAGAAATTATGAATGAATCGATCAATTTTATTATTTTGTTTTTTCTTCATATTAATTAGCTTCTTGAAAAAAAAAGAAATTTTGAATCTTCAAATTTGTTTGAACTTCCAAAGGTCATATTAATTATATGTAGGGGCAAAATGGGAAAAAATAATTGATTCTATCCTGATTTATTAAGTGATCAAATAATACTCTCTCCGTTCACTTTTATTTGTCATGCTGCGCTTTTCGAAAGTTAAATTAGATTGCATCAATTTGATAATTTAAACAAAAAAATTAGATATTCAAAAACTATACGAAAAGTACTATAAATTGCATTTTTTTTTCATATCAATATAATGAAAAAATACATTGTAAAATGTTAGTCAACGTTTCTATAGTTTGACTCTAAAAAAAAACATACTCCCTCTGTCCAACAATAGTTGTCCACTATTGACTTGACACATCCCTTAAGAAACAATAAATAATAAGTGTAATATTATTATTTTATCCTTTGTATTTATTAAATTTAATGTTTTGAGAAATGTGTCAAATGATAAATAGCAAGGGTAAAATAGACACAAAAAGTAAATTATTTCTTGATTTTTAAAATTGAACAAATATTGTTGAACAACTATTTTTAGTATAATGGACAACTATTATTGAACGAAGAGAGTAACAATTATAGTAGACGAAGGGAGTATGAGATAAATATTTTTAGTAAGATGTTGTCTATTATGAGACGGAGAGAGTATAAAATGATAGCCAACCAAATCTTACCAAAAAGGAATAGAAGACTTTCATCACTCCCCATGTTAGAATTTTGCTCAAGTCAGCCATGCATTAGCATTTATTGGGTTGACCAAAAAAATCCCCTAATTAACGCCTTTTATATTATTGACTGCTGATTAAAACTTGGTTTACTATATTGCAAATTGTTCTTTAATTTTTGCTTTTATCTAGGTCTTCATAGATCATTAGTTTGACCAGATGGTGATCTTACATTTAAAAGTTATAGAGGTGTTCATATGAGTGAAAATGTTTTTTCGACCTGGTTTTCTAGGAAAATAAGTAAATTTTATATTATTTTTTTTTGTATTTAATACGTAAGTAATAATATTCAGGACCATCTCAATAAGTTTGGGAGGCCTAAAGTCAAATTTCGTTACGAGATCTTATTTTTTTAGTTGTCATATGTATTGATTGAATAGTTATAACATACTCAATGAATTTTACAAGTGAAGTTTAGAGAAAGTATGATGTCTAGACCTTATGAAGTAAGAATTCAAACAATGAAAATTTTCAATGAAAATATATAATATAAAGTTAGAATAATAAAATCTGACTTTAAACTTTGAAAAGTTTATATAATGATACTGAAATAGTTGTGCTGAATTTTATAAGTTGATATAATGATATTAAAATAGTATTGATTTGTTGCAGTGCTTGAAATTTAAAGAATACACCAAAAAAAAAAGTTGATCTTTTTAAAAACACACAATAACGTATATTGCATAATGCAAAAGGTTTTATTTGTTTAATAGACTTTAGAATACTCAATAATGAGGAAATAAGAATATAAAGAGGAGTAAAAAAAGTAAATGTAAGAATAATAATGTGGGTTTATGATAATTATCAAGATATAAATAAGTCAACAAAATAAGTAGCCACATAAAAGAAATGATGTTATAATTAACTAAACACTATTCTATTTCTCAATTATTACAACGACCTCCACATTAAATAAAGTAAACAATTACTATTATATTTTCTATCCAAAAAATTCTTTAGAAAAAATTGGGGGCCCTAAAAATTTTGGTGTCCCAAGCAGTTGTTATAGTGGCCTTATGACCGAGATGACCCTAATAATATCATCCTAAAAACATTTGTATATAATTTAGATAAATATGAAAGGAGTAGGACCGTAGGAGTGTGAGATGGTGGGGTTGGAGGATGAGTAGAACACAATTAATATGGAAAGTCACATATGAAACTTGTTTTTCCCACTTCCATTAGGGAAGTTGTATCACTCGTCTTTAAGAAACTTGTTTTCCTAAAGAAAATGTTTACAATTTTTTCGACCAACCAAACATGAAGAAATTTAAAATAAATTAATGATTTCCTCCGTACCGAACACATCATATGAATTTGAGTTCGGACTCCTATCACAACACATTTAATTTACTAGGTTTGAAGTTTGTTATTTATAATTATTAATCAATCTTTTAACACATATAATGGTATTTGAGCTAAGGTTACTATGTTCGGATGAATCAGTAGCATATTTAGAATTTTGAGAAGATGAATGCACTATACGAAAAGGTGGATTTAAAATATTAATTTGACTGATTTAACCTTTAGGTTCTTATCACTGAACTTAAATCAATTTTCTTATAGGAATTTTCAATGTAACAAACTTGAAAATTTGAAAGATATTAAAACGTCAAAAGTGTTATCAATAACCATTTAAAGAGATATTACCCAATTTTAGAAGAAAAAAAAAACAAAATCGATAAAAGATTTAAGATTCTAACTTCACCTAGAGAGGTACACCCAATCATCATGACATCATATGATTTCGAGTATGAATCCATACATCTATATTTACGTATTTTTTTAAAAATTATAACACTACAAAATGAAAACATGAATTCACGTAAAACTAGAATAAATCTCCCAAGATACACTCTCTGGCCAGTAATTACTATAGCACTCTATCTATGTTTGACTAGGTACATTGTTCAATAGACTCAAATTTAAAATAACAAGTGTTACCACTTCCCAACATGATAGGAATCCATCTTATTAGACAAAGCATATCCAAAGTAGTAATACTAATACTAATTAGTATATAAGTAGTTGGTGTTTAAGGTTACATAACTCAAGATTTTAATTTCCTAAAGAATATAATTCACCTACCTTAATATTTTCTTCATTTCTTTCCACACAAACTAGCTAGAAAAAAAAATGATAGAGTGGCTAGACATTTACAAGGTTATTGAAGCCATGATGCCACTTTATTTGGCATTAGGTCTTGGTTATGGTTCTGTAAAATGGTGGCACAAACTTAGTGCTGAACATTGTGATGCTATAAATAGATTGAACTACTTTTTTGTTCTTCCTTTTTTCACATTTGACTTCATTTCCCAAGTAAATCCCTATAAAATGAACTACCCCTTCATTTGTGGTGACCTTATTGCTAAAGCCATCATTGGTTTTTTTCTAACTTTGTGGGCTAATTTTTATAGCAAAGGGAACTTTTCTTGGTCCATAACAACATTCTCATTTTGTAGCTTAACTAATGCACTTGTTATGGGAATTCCTGTAATGAATGCTATGAGTCCTCAAGTAGGTGTTGATTTAGTGATTCAATCATTGGCAATACAATTTCTCATTTGGTCTATAATTATACAATTCATGATGGAATTGAAAAATGCCAAAGATGAGATTATGGCTTGTGAGGGTGCTAATCAAGATTTAGAAGGGAATGATAATAATAATGCAAGCAAAAATACAACACCATCTTTGGGGTCAGTAATGACAATTGTATGGACTAAGCTTTCCAAGAATCCTAACTTTTATGCTTGTTTTCTAGGCATAATGTGGTCTCTTGTAGCTGACAGGTATGTGTTCAACTAAATCTATTACTTTGTTTCGAATCAGTTATACATATCAATAAGATTTTAAAATTATAGATTATAATAGATCACTGTGTGTTTAGAATCTGTTAATTTTAAATTTTGAATTCGTCTCTCTGTCTATTTTTAGGTGGCATTTTGTACTGCCGAATATTGTGAAGGAATGCATATCAATAATGTCAAAGGCAGGAAGTGGCATTGGAATGTTTACTATTGGTGAGATTTCAAGACTTATATCTATTTCATCCTACCTATTTAAATAGACTTCGAGTCTTGAGGCGGGAAAAATAAATAAATCTTGAATTGAACTCAATTCTAAAAAACTTACTTATGAGAAAATAATTGTTCAAGACCATATAAATAATTCATATTGTTCCCCTCTCTTAGCCGATGTAGGACATCAACGTACACTCCACACAACTAAGAACTGGACATCTGGAGTGTGGAAGATATAAGATTGGAGGAGATGAGAGGAGAGCACATCGAAAATATTTAATTAGGATGGATCTGATTATAATATCATGTAAAGAGATGAATATTCGATATAACTTACCCTCACAACCTGAACACTAAAGAAAGAATTATCCAAGTGAGACCTAAGGAAAACATTCTTATAGAATACATTTTACATATTGCATATTATATTATATCATAAAATAAATTGGAAAATAAATCCAAGTAGTAGTAGTAACTTTGATGGTCCATAAATGCAGGGGTATTTGTGGCAATGCAACAGAAAGTAATGGCTGGTGGCACAGGAGTGATAGTATTTGGACTATTTTTGAGATTTTTTATAGGACCAGCTACGATGACTATAGGATCATTCGTCGTAGGTTTACATGGCAATGTTTTACGAGCTTCCATACTCCAGGTAATTTTATCTCCGTATAGTCTATCCTTTTTAAATCATACTGAATATATTGTTATTATAATTTAAAAAAATCATTTTCTCAAATTATGTTTAGAGAATTTTGAATGTACCGTTATGGTCTAAGTAAAACTAATTACTATTTTCTTTGTTTCAATTTTATGTTTAGTGTATGAAGGTCATTTTTTTTTATTTTAATCGTTATAAGTTTGAGTTTAGATTCCCAATTATTTAAAAATAAAATTTACTATTTGAAATCTATATGGAAAATAGCTAACGAATATTCAAAATATTTTGAGAAAAAATTGAAAAAATTATAGTCAAAGAAAAAGTTACTCCTATTTAACTCCCTAAAATAGTAGTAATATTTTCATGTAAATTTAGAATCTTTAGATGGTGGAAGTATTACTTATTTTTAAAAAATTGTTTGTACTCGAATCGTTGTAACCATTTACTTGGTAGTGATTAATTTTTTGGTCCCAATTTTATCTTTTTTGAAGTTTTATTCGTTATTGGCTTATTTTCATGTAAACTAAGCATACAATTTTGCTTTTACGGAGCATGAGTATCAACAGTTAATGTTAAATCAATTCAAAAAAATACATAATTTGATGAATAGACCATGTGTTCACGGACATCACTAATTAAAATTTACACATATTTTAATTATTATCGAACTAGTCAACTACTTATTAAAATAACACATATTTTAATTATTATTATATTTTATGATTGAAGGCAGCATTACCCCCAGGCATAGCCTCCTTTGTTTTGGCAAAAGAATATGGAGTTCACCCTGAGATTGTTAGCGCTGTGTAAGTTATTTCATTCATAATTAATTTCTTCTTATTTCTCATCTTATAATCTTTTTCTCCTATATACTTTCAATTCACATCCATTTGGAATAATATAATATGTATATTAGAGGAAAAATTAGTGACTAGGGCAAGATATTATAATAAAAATACGTTTTATATCAAATCACACTAAAAACAAATGAAATTAACTACGAAATTTGTGGATAATCCCTAACTTATGTATCGCTAAAAAACTCCTACATAATTGATTTTTCTTATAATTTGTAGCTAACACATAGCTAAATGAGATCAGCATTGGCTTTTGATCGTTCAGTTACAAAATTTTATCCGTTAGTACTTCCTTATTTTGTAGTAGTGTCATTTAAATAATGTACTGGCTTCAATCTAAAAAGTACAAAATTTTACTAAAGTAAATGATATTGTAAAATAAAATATTTCACCATACCAAATGGATTATTTTCTTCTTCTTCATTTTTTTTCTAATTTTCTGATTATTAAGACTAATGTATGTGATTTTTTTTTATTTCAGGGTAATTATTGGCATTCTGGTGTCACTTCCCATTATGATTGCTTATTATGCAGTTTCAGAGCTTATACATTGATCCCATTTACAATTTACTGACCTACAATTAGTCAATTAATGACCTATTACTCCTAGTTTTCTTATTAGTATTTTTTTTCAGTTTCTTGTAACCTAGGCTCCTGTATTATTCCTTTTTTTTGGGGTCACAGAGTTTGACCATATATAAAGGAATGGTTAATGTAACATTTTAATATTAATAAAAATATATCATATGTTATATTATGTATCATGTTATGTTCATTGGTGGTCATTATATTTGTGCCTCTTTACTCTTATCAATTATGGTAGAATGAGGTCATTAGTAGTCAGTAACTCTTTTGTTGGGAAAAATACTACAATATTGATATTAGATTGGAATTATAAAGTAGTAAATAACTTATCACAAACACTGTGTCGTGACAAGCCACTGCCTTGAAAGCGATTTCGGCCCGACTCCGGTGCAAATCGTAGTAGCCTGTCGCTCCCCAAGGTTCCATAGTTACTCTCAAACACGTGCACTCGTGGCTGAGAGCTTGGAGGTTGCTTAAAACCAATTGCCCAAAAATATTTGGAATTCGAAGCCAAAAGGGCAAAAAAATTGTCAAAAATTTCAAAAGGGCAAAATCGTTCCTAACTGAGCGATTTCCTTCTGACAAAATTGACTCCATTAAAAAACATAAAAATCGTTGTTGGGACAACGATTTCGTCCAAAAAAAATTTCTTTTTCCTTAAAATCGCTGCTTTGGCAGCGATTTTGTCAATTTTCTTTTTAACAAAGCTACCCCTACAACGTTTTTCTCAAAAAATTAGCTGAACTGTTTGGTGCCTGCCTCTATTGCTGCAAAGAGACGAAGATCAAAATGGGTGCTTTTGTTAAGCTATTGGACATGCTTCTTTTCGTTTACTTCTTGTTAATCGCCATTGTTGCACCACTCTTTGATGGCCAAGTTGCCCTTCCTAAACACATATTTCCTCCTGTGTTGGTTGACCTAAAGAGCTGGTACACTCAACAATATGGTGATTATTTGGTTTATGAGAAACCCCATTTCTTTGTTGGCTTATTTGGTTTCTGAGAAACCCCATTTTTTAAGCCTTAATTGCAAGCGATTTTTTTTTAAAAAAAAAAATACTTTTTTAAGGAAAAGGAAATCGCTGCTAAAAGTTTTTTTTTTGAGAAAAATGCTGCAGGGGCAGCGATGTTAAAAAAATAATTAACGGTGTTAATTTTGTCAGAAGAAAATTGCTCCGTTAGGAGCGATTTTGCCCTTTTGGTTAAAAATTTTTTTGATGTGCCCTTTTGAAATTTTTAGCAATTTCTTTTACCCTTTTGTCTCCGGACTCAATATTCTAAGAATAAGGAGGAAGAAGTTTTTCTCTTTTTTTTTTATGTTGGTAGTGTTGTTTCTTATGCTCACCAAAGCCTCTTCTTCTATAGGATTTGCAAGAAAAGGAGTTGCAAGTAGGAGAGTTTAATTTTAGAAACGTATTGTCAAGGTTAATGGCATTAAAGGCCATTACATCACTTTTGTTTGGAACGGATGTATCTTCACCTTTGAAACGTATTTTGAATTTGTCTCTTTGCATTACATTTAGTTAATAAAGTTAGAATAATTAACTCAACAATCCCCCATTAATGCCAAGATAAGGAGTAAGAACTAACTTTTGGACAAAAGGAAGGAACATGTACTTAAGTGTCAATATCTTTCGATTTGAATTGACACGTAGTGATATGAGACAACAACTTATTATCCACAAAGTGAAGTACTCTTGAACTGAGCGGATATGAATTGAGACCCTCATAACACATACCATATCCTTAAATTTAAGCAATCTCCGCGATACAAAGTGCTTTTATGGTCATGCACACACCCCTTGGGTCTTATGAGTGCTCTAGAAAGACGACCCGAGTTTTTCATAAAAGGCGACCACACATTTATACTCATTTAGGTGATTCCATCAAGTCTATCTCAAATAGACCACCTTACGGCTATAGAATCATTAAGAGAAAATAAGCTCAACCTTATAAAACATTGCCTCACGCCATAGGGATAGAAAATATGGTGTATATTGAGGCCTTATGGGTCCACCACACTACCTCAATCAATGGGCTTTAGCCCCATCCCCCTCGACGTTTCAAGGATTATTTTCCTTGTCAAGCTCTTGGTCATAGGATCCGCCAAATTTCTTTCGGACCTTACATATTCCAAAGAAATAATACCATGTTTCAACAACTGTTTAACTGCACCATGTCTGATGCGAATGTGTCTTTTTTTTTCATTGTACACACTATTTTTGGCAATTTCAATTGCTGCCTGTGAGTCACAATGAAGAGAGACTGGTGAATGGCACATCCGCTAACAGATTTCTCAGCCACTCAGCTTCTTGCCCTGCCAACTCGAGAGTAATGAATTCTGATTCCATGGTAGAACGTGCTATATAAGTCTATTTGGAAGACTTCCACGAAATAGCACCTGCACCAAAAGTAAACACATAGCCACTGGTGGAGCTAACTTCATCACTGTCAGTTACCCAATTTGCATCACAAAAACCTTCTAAAACAGCAGGAAATTTGTTAAAATGCAAACACTAATTCATAGTACCTCTCAAATACCTTAGCAACCGATGAAGAGCATTCCAGTGTTCACTACTAGGATAATGAGTATATCTACTAAGCTATATCAGGCCGAGTATAGTTCATGAGAAACATTACACTCCCAATTATTTTAGCATATTCAGTTTGAGAAACACTAGATTCTTTATTCTTCCTCAAGTGTATGCTAGGATCATATGGAGTTCTCACTGGAACTACATCAAAACAATCAAACTTTTTCAACATCTTTTCAATGTAATGAGATTGAAACAAAGAGAAACCATTAGCATTTCTTTTGATTTTAACTCCCAAAATCACATCTGCTTCACCAAGGTCTTTCATTTCAAAGTTAGAAGAAAAAAAGTTCTTGGTCTCATTAATAATATTCACATTAAGACCAAAGATTAACATGTTATCTACATATAAATATATAATCACACAATCTGAACCTATCATTTTAGACTAAACACAGGTATCAGATAAATTTACAACAAAATCATTATCCACTAATGATATTAAATTTTGCATACCATTGCTTAGGTGTTTGTTTTAGTCCATACGAGGACTTTCTCAATTTGCATACTTTATCCTCTTGTCCTGGAACCACAAAACCCTTAGGTTGAGTCATATAGATCTCTTCATCTAAATCACCATTTAGAAATGTTGTTTTGACATCCATTTTATGTACCACTAAATCATGAATAGTGGCTAAAACAATAAGAGTCCTAATGGTCACTATTTTAGTAACAAGAGAATAAGTATCAAAGTAATCAACACCTTTCTTTTGGTTAAAACCCCTAATCACAAGTCTAGCCTTATATTTATCAATTGTACCATCAGGTCTCAATTTCTTTTTAAATATCCACTTGCTACTTATGGACTTATAACCTTTAGGTAAATCATATAAGTCCCAAGTGCGATTAGAAACTATAGAGTCTAATTCACTTTAATAGCCTATTTCCAAAATATAACATCTATTGATCTCATTGCTTCATCATAAGTCTTAGGGTCTTCTTCTATTAAGTAGATAGACACTAGCTAACTCATCATTTAAAATATTAATATCAAAGTTTTCAGTTAAGAAAGTAGTGATAAAATCGGGGACCAAATTTAGTCTCAACTCTACGTCTTTTACTTCTTCTGAGTTCATTTTCATGCTCATTAGGAATAACATTCGAAGAAGGCACAACATGAGAATTAACAGACATAGATGTAGAAGCATTGTTTTGCATATCACTCGGCACATTATTTTTCAAAGGAAAAATATGCTCAAAAAATTCTGCATCTCTAGATTCACAAATAGAATGATCATTGAGACACATAAATCTATATACAACACTATTTTGAGCATAACCAATAAAGACAGTATCATAAGTCTTAGAACCAACATTTACTCTTTTAAAATCAGGTAGACCAACCTTAGCCAAACACCCCCACACCTTCAAAAAATTCAAGTTAGGAGCAAACCCTTTCCACAACTCATATGAGATCTTGTCCAACTTCTTATGAGGGACTCTATTAAGAATATAGCACGCAGACAAGACTGCTTCTCCCCACATATTGTCAGATAGACCAGAGCTTAAAAGCATATAATTCATCATTTCTTAAGGGTTCTATTTTTCCGTTCGGCTACACCATTTTGTTGGGGAGTATAGGGAGCACTAACCTCATGTATTAATACCATTTTTTCTCACAAAAATCTTCTAGAGTTTTTAGTACTATATTCACAGCCCCTATCAGATCTAAATCTCTTGATTTTTTCTGTCTAAATTGATTTTCCACTTCTGCTTTGAATTTCAAAAACATGTTTTGAGCTTCATCTTTAGACTTAAGAAGATATACCTTAGTGTATCTAGAAAAGTCATCAACAAAAGTAATATAATACTTTTTCCCACCTTTGCTAACAATGTTTTTGAAATCTGCTAAATCTGAATGTATTAGTTCAAGTAATTCGGTCTTTCTACTAATAACAGATTTGAAAGGTTTCTTGGCATGCTTGGCTTCCACACAAAAAGGACATTTAGAAAAATCATCAGTTTTTATCATAGGAATTAATTTCATTTTCCTAAGTCTTTTAATAGAAGCAATGTTAACATGACCTAGTCTACCATGCCACAAATTGATAGACTCAACAATATAAGCATAATTTGAAGTACTTTCATTATTGACAATCTCTTGAACAATGTTCAATACAAATAATCCTCCACTAAGATATCTCTTCCCAACAAAGTCTCCTGCACGAGAAATAATTATTTTATCAGCTTCAAAAACAAGTTTAAGGCCTACTTTTTTTAGAAGTGCTCCGAAAACTAAGTTTCTACGGAGGGAGGGAACATACAAAATATTGTTCAAGGATAATGTCTTTCTAGAAGTTAATTTAAGTAATTTTTTTCCTTTACCCATTACTACAACAGTAGTAGAGTTACCCATATATACACACTCGCCATCAGTGGACTCCTCAAAGTCATGGAATAAATTCTTACTGGCACAAAAATGCCTTGAAGCGCCAGTGTCT